GAAAACGAAGAGATGGATTCATACCTTTCCGAAGTGTATTTGCACATAAGTGGATGTAACGATCTCGACTGGAATTCGAACTCCGATTTCTCATTTATTGTTGTGGATTCCGGGTTTAAATCCGGTACCAATAAATAACAAACGCCAGGAATGAATATATGAAAATAATGTATTAACGTATTAATACAAACTGGTAAAGCAGGTTAGTAGTTCCAGGAATACGGGTTAGTAGCAAAATATATATATAGTCTTTGGTATTGAAGTATCGCTTTATGACTTCTTACTGAGTCTACGTGCTCGCTCACTGTGACTCCTACAACACTGTTACCTCACCCTCACTCTTCCGGTTACCTACAACCTTTTACTCTGTCACTCTCGACTCGACTCGACTCTTGCTCTCTCGGGTCTTCACGTAGCCGTAGTATATGTATATACTGGGTGAGTCCATTTGTGTAAAAAGGGGAGAACCCCTCAACATTTATATAAAAGTTTCCTATTTTAAATGTGTCTAAAACATTTAGAATGCGCATAAAATAACACATACAAACAATATGAACGTGGTAAGCAACAATGCATTGCATCTGTCATTTTCATGATTTAAATGATCTCCGAAGTTGTCAAACTGAGTCACCATAAAATGTTGATTTTCAATATTTCCATATTTACTTATGTCTCCAAAATGTTCCATCTCCGATATTTAGCACTCTACTCCCATAAATGTGGCACATTTTTAACAATACACACACACACACACACACACACACACATATATATATATATATATATATATATATATATATATATATAAAGTGAACATTGAAGTCAACACTTAGAGGCGACAGTCTGTTTCATGATAGACTCGTGGCCTGACGATTGCGTCTAGCATGAAACAGACTGTCGCCTCTAAGTGTTGACTTCAATGTTCACTTTATATATATATAATATATATATATATATATATATATATATATATATATATATATATATTCACAGTTCAAAGAATCGAAAAGTGCAGATCTATTTAATATTTAAAATAATAAACACACCAAACCTTTTTTGCTACCGCAGCTTCCACCAATAAATGTTTTTTCACTGCCTGAAGTGAACCATTTATTGGTGGAAATCCTGGCAGCAGGAAGGGTTAGTGTGTTTATTATTTTATATATATATATATATATATATATATATATATATATATATATATATATATCTTCTTTTTGTGCCGTGTCCCTTCGGGTCGTAGGCGATCATGGCTCTCGATTTCCTGCTGTTCCTTCTAGTTTCAATAAGCTTTGAATTTTTATTTATTCCCAGACCCCTGTTCTTCCCTGTAAATTATATTTCGGACTCATCTTTTTGCTGATGACCATGCATTCTGTCTTCTTGTAGTTTATGCTTAGTCCCTTCTTCGCGCTCTCCTTTGCTACCTTTGTAGGAGACTTTATAGTTTACTTTCCGTATCTGCTATCAACACAGTATCATCTGCATGTCTTATGTTGTTAAGATTGTTGCCGCCAATGATGAATCCTGATAGGTTTTCCAGTTCTCACAGAATTGCCTCGCTGCATAGGTTGAATATGTCCGGTGAGAAGACACACCCTTGCCTTACGCCTCATTCTATTTGTGTATATCTGTTGACCGAATTTTTTTTATCTTTAAACAAGCGGTTTGTTGACAGTAGAGTTTTTTGATTATTCTAATGTCTTTCTCAAATATATCAAGGCTGCTGAGCAGTTCAACAGATCTTTGTCGCGTACTTTGTCGAACGTCTTTGCGTAGTCTCTAAAACACAGGTGCACGTCCTTCTGCATTTGTATTGCTCTTTCTGATAACATTTTAAACATGAATATCGCATATCTTGTTCCGATATCTTTAACGAACCCGCATAGTCCTTGTCCAAGTAGGGTTCGTTAAACCCGATAATAAGTTTCGTTAAAAACAGCTGACATAGTACAGTGATTACTTACCTTGTTGGTTAGCAGGTCATGTAATTTACTAATTGTGTATTAATTCCTCTTTTATACAAGCTTCGGCGGCCAACGAGAAAAGTAATGATTGTACTTTTCCAATCGTTTTTAACGAAACTTGTATAAAAGAAGGATTGCTGCCCAAATACAGAATTATTAAATTGCATAACTCGACAGCTAACAAGGAAAGTGTACGCGATACATTGTCCGTCGTTTTTAACGAAATTTGCTGCTCAAATATACATTATATATACATACACACACAAACACACACACACACATATATATATATATATATATAATATCAATATATTTATATATATGTGTGGATATAAAATGCTATGTTCACAAAAACATGGAACTTTGAGTTGTGGTCATTTTTCACTGGGAAGTTATATATATATATATATATATATATATATATATATATATATATACACACACACACACACATATATATATATATATATATATATATATATAATTTATTCAAAAATTATAACTTAAACATCTTATAACATCACTACAAAAATAGCCATGTTGTTTCAACACTTCTGGTGTCTTGTGAAGTGATGGCGTTGAATGTAGAATAAACTCTTTATTCTACAGTCAACATCATCACTTCATAAGACACCAGAAGTGTTGAAACAAAATGGTTATTTTTGTAGTGATGTTATAAAATGTTTATGTTATAATTTTTGAACAAATAATTTTTGCTCTACTCAGTATTGAGCACTCTTTTAAGAATAGTATTTTTATATATATCGAAAGTACTTGGGAAATGAAAATAATAAAAATTCTCTCGTCCTTTAATATCAATATTCGTGAGTATGAACGGATGTTGATAAAAATTAGCAGACATAATGTTTGTAATTTATTCAATCAGACAAGCGTAAAAGAGAATTTGCTGCCTAAATACACACACACACACACACACATACATATATATCTATATAATTTATTTTTTATTAGATATTTTATTAGATTTTTATTTTTTATCGATACAAATATTTAAGTAAATGCTGTATTTATAATAAACATTATTAACAACATTTACCGTCCAAGAAATTTAATAGAAAAATTATGCCAAACAAATGCTTCCTCTAAATGTATCGCACATCAGGCTATATGATAGTTCCGCGTAGGGTATTGGTTCGATTCCTGTCGGAGAACACATATTTACTATGAAATTACTCGGACGGTAAATGTTGTTAATACTGTTTATTATAAACAAAGCATTTATTTAAATACTTTTATCTATAAAAATAATGTATAAAGAATAAATATATTAAAATAATCAGCCTATTTCCATATGTGTGTATGTGCATGAGTGTGTGTAAAAACTCTGATATAATTAAAATTATGTTTGCAAAGTATGAATAATACAAAAGTTATCCTAGCCGACGTGTTTCCTCCTATGAGGGACTTTTGTTGCCTTTCTAAACTCCACACACACACACGTACGCACGCACGCACGCACGCACGCACGCACGCACGCACGCACGCACAAGGAACAGAGCTTACTTTAACTCAATTTAATTCAAATAATTATATTGAAGTTTTCGGCTCTTGTTTTGAAACATGAGACCTCTTATGTCGCGAATTAGAATCATATTTTTAAATAAATAATTATATATATATATATATATATATATATATATATATATACGTACATACACAGACGCACACAGATATATATATATATATTCACGCACATGCACACACATATATATGACCCCCCACATATATATATGCACAAAAACGTATATATGTATACACACACACACACACACACACACACACACACACACACACACACACACACACACACACACACACACACATATATATACATATGTACGCACACAGAAGATTTGGAGATAAAGGTTGAGTTCAGAGTTGACATGACTCAAGTCGATAGCATCAAATATACGACGATGGTTTCTTTTTCTCTTTCAACCTGAAGCAATAGAATGCGTTTACCTGACACGGCAAAGGTATAGAGTAATGATAAATATATTTAGCTATACCCAACCTCAAATAGTTTAGTTTGAAAAAATAGCTGACAGTGAAGCTGCCTTAAACCTGTATGTCAAATGCTCTCTCTCTCTCTCTCTGTTTTTGTTTTACTATTTCTCCTCACTCTCAGTTCTCCCCTGAGTTTACTTAACATCTTCTACCCATTCTGGTCTCCACTGTATTTCATTGTACGCTGGGTAAAGCAAGGTATTTTATTGTATAGACAAAATAAGGTGCAACTATAATTGAGACTCAACAGCTTATCATTCCAAGCTTTTAACAAAACATATAAGAGCATATTTACTCTTATGTGGCGTGTTGACATACGTACGTACGGTAAAGGGAAGCACATACTAGAATACAGTTCTATGCGTAGGAGTGTGGGTCTGCAAGAAAATTCTAAATGACTGACCAGTTTTTACTTTTCATTTTAAAAATTTAATACGTGATATCAAAAAATAATGTATGTGTTTGAGCATATAATTCACCAATGAAATTACTTTCGGAGCACATCACATTTTTGTGTTATCTATCAATCTCTCGATCTATTTATCTATCTATCTTAGTCTGTACCTACCTACCTACCTACCTCAGTCTATCTATCTATCTATCTATCTATCTATCTTGGTCTGTTCCTACCTACCTACCTACCTACCTACCTCAGTCTATCTATCTATCTATCTATCTATCTATCTATCTATCTATCTATCTTGGTCTGTTTCGACCGACCTACCTACCTACCTACCTACCTCAGTCTATCTATCTATTTATCTATCTTAGTCTGTTCCTTTCTTACCTACCTACCTACATCTATCTATCTATCTATCTATCTATCTATCTATCTATCTATGACTTTGTTGAGTAGTGAAGATAGTTTCGTGTTTACAAATCTAAAAGTCATTATTTCGAATGATAATTTCTTAGGTAATATATGTCCACTTTGAAAATTCGTTCAGTATAATATTACTGACTCAAGATCCGTGGTAGGCATGTACACTAATAAAATATGCCACCATGTTCTATCTATCTATCTATCTATCTATCTATCTATCTATCTATCTATCTATCTCAGTCTGTTCATATCTATCTATCTATCTATCTATCTATCTATCTATCTATCTATCTATCTTTGGTGAGTGGCGGAGATATTTTCGTGTTAACAAATGTAAGATGAATTTAAGAGGATAACCTTTTAGGTGTCTAGAGATTTTCAGTCTATTTTTATTTGACGCAAAAATTGTTTTCCGTAGCCACTGATAGATAGAGTTGCTGAAATCCAATCCAGATGTAAAAAAAAATAGAAAAATTAAATTGCAAAAGTAATGACATGAATAAGATTTAGAAGCCAAATTTGTTTCAATAAAAATGGACGAATGTTGAAGATTATGCACAATAAAATTTAAATTTTTCAAAAGGTTTACGCTTTAGCCATCTTTTCGTTTGGAAAAATGGCGACCATTATATTGCGGAAGTCTGGTTCCAAATGTGATGCAACGTAGTGTAGCCTCTAAAATCAGATGGCAGTCAATGTTGACAAATTTCGTAAGAGCTTGTGGGAAAATAAAATAAAATTATAATAATGAATTATAAAAGAAAAGAAAGCAAATGAATTTTCTTATTTTATTCCCCCACTTGACTTCGCCGAGAGCCGTTAGGTGGCGTTGTTTATGAGTATAAAAAGACAAACATCTTCCTTCCTAACTCTCATTCTCCTCCCTTGCTCCAAGATGGAAAAAGTACTGGAACATGGAAAAAGTACTGCTCCGCTGGAGCACGTTCGTTTCTCCGGTCCACTGACGACTGGACTCTCTTTCCACTTTTTAACGCATGGCGTTCGAATGCCCTCCCTCAAACCTTCAGCTATGAAGTAAAGCGAGCTTTCCTTTGGTCGTTCCAACTCTGCGCAAGGGTGATTTGAGTTTGACCATTATAACAATGCTTACACTTAATTAGCCTAATGTCTAGACCAAGAAAAAGAAAACTAACATACCCAAGAGAGAGCTTCGTTTCCGTACAGTCACTGTAAAAGAAAATAAACGGTCCGTGGTAGAAATCCAAGTTTTTGTATATCTCTTCTTTAATCGTTTACATATGAACATGCACCCTCATTTACGATACACCAACACGTAACCTTTAAATTCCACAAGCCAATTGGTATAAATGTAAAACCACGTTCAACAGACGAGAGTTTATTCAAGTGTTCTTTTGTCTAAAAAATGTTAATAATTCATTTTAATTAATTAAAAGCGAATGGTGTTGTTCTGTATTTAATTACTATCTTTCGCGAAATAAATTTGACAGCAGGAGAACATAAACGGAAATAACTGAAATTAAGCGACTATTAGCAATTGTCAAAGGGTTGGGGTATAGTGTAGGTTATTTTTAGATTGCTACCGACAGAGATGTGATGCTCTCGACGTATGCTTATCATGCCATGGACAGAACATGTGGCCAACGATGGAAGTTTTAAAGAAAGAAGGCTTAGAAAATTTAACACGCTCAGAACATATCGAAGGCAAAATAAGCAGGGGGAAGAACGAGTAAACAATCTAAGTAGACTGCGCAAATGGACAGTATAAACAAAGATAAAGAGTGATAGTGAGGGGTAAAAATATAGAAGAATGGAAGCTGTGGAGAACCATGATCGCCTAATTCCTGAAATGACTTGGCATATAAATGTAAGCGATCTGGGATTGCGAAGGAAATGTTTGTCGCAGATTATTTCCACTTCGCCGAGAATAAATCACCAAGTTCAAGACTCGAACATCGCGGACAGAAAGAAAATGCCGAAAACTCGATTCGCAAGTACTATTTCACAAATTACAATGCACGCAACCAGTCAGAAAAATAACTCCCTCGGCAGCCAAAATCGCCGACTCAACCCCCACCTCCGGATTTGAGAACACCAACTGCTTTTATCAGCCGAACGTTTTCTTTTCCATTCGTCGACAGCTGGGACAGGATGTTCAGTAATTTGCATATCAACATACTTTATAGAGACTCCTGCGACGGATTTGTTGTTTTTTTTTTTTTTTTTAATTCAAATATTCCATTTTCAGCATGTCATGCTGAATACATGCCCTTTTGTTTGGTAAGTAATTTTCTTTTTCGCCACATTTTCTGTCGTAGAATACACTCGACGCGCTGTCGCTTGGTTTGACGAGGCAAGTCGCCGTTTTCTTCGCTATAATGAAGAAGATTGATATAAGCATATTTCACTGAACATCCAGCTTCGCATTGGGCTTCCGGTTGATTCTAGAGTCTTCTCAATCTCTTCGACTCCCAGTTGACCCTACAAAATATATATGAATAACCGAAAGCCCCAAGAATTATCTTCTGTTGCTCCATCTTTTAAGAATATAATAATCCTACTGTAGTGTCACATCTCTGTTGCCATCAGTCTCCTCAACATCTGTAAAAAAATTGTTCCGTACTCACTGCCATATTTTGATTGGACATGAATTATCAATATCCTACTGTAGTGTCACATCTCGCACAAACGAACTGTTTAAGATTAGATTACACCATACAATAACGTCTTAGTGGCATTGTCGTCTTTCTTGGGGTGAATTGAATAGAAATACATATATATATAAATAATTGAAAGTCTCAAGGATTGCTTCTGTTGCTCCATCTTTTAAGAATATATTAATTCCAATCGGCAAAGGATATATGTTTTTTTTTCTTTTATGCTTGGTATTCCTTCAGGACTTAGACGGTCGTGGCTCTCCACACATTTATATCGTTTGTAGATCTACGTAATGCTTATCTCCTTACTACCCTTCTCACTATTCTGTCATCTGTTTATATAAACTCGTTTCACGCGTGTCAACTTCTCCAAGCTCTCTTTCCTCGTTATCAGTCCGACAAATTTCGTCTGTCTTCTCATATACGTCTTCTTTTTTACCATTTTCCTTCAAACTTTCTCGTTGCTCACATGCTCCGTCTATGATATAATAATTATCCTACTGTAGAGTTACACCTTTGTTGACATGAATCTCCTCTTCATCTCTTAGAAAATTGTTCTGTATGACTGAATATAAAGTACCAGTATCCGATTGTAGTTTCGAACCGTTTTAGATCAGATTACGTCATACAATAGCGTCTTTAAGAAAGAACAAATTTAAAATAAGCTGATGTGAAGAAATCTTAACCATTTCACCCGAAGCAATGCGACAGTGCCACTAAGACTCAAGAAGGGTTACAGCGAGTAAAAGAGAATGAGAAAACTTTACTTAGGAGATGGGATAAAAAGGACAATAAAGGAATACTATTCAGGAATAAGGAAGATGGCATTTGACGTTATATTTACATTTTTGAAGATTGTAGTTTGCAGGGAAGCAAGAAATTGGAAAGGAGTTCCTCAGCTGAGAAGTGTGAGAAAACAAACTGTTAGAATGGAAATGACTGTTTTATCTAGATAGTTCAATAGTAAAAGAGTGAGATTTAATTGCTAATCTAGTAGCACGCTTAAATTCATGCAGACAAGACAAAAAGAGTGTCAACTTCTCCAAGCCTTCTTTTCTCATTATGTGTCCTACAAATTTCGACAGTTTCCTGATTCTAAGCATACATGTTTTTTTTTTGTTACCATTCTCCTTAAGACCTCCGTGTTGTTCACATGCTCAGTCTATAATATAATATTTATTCTACTGTAGTGTCACATCTGTGTTGACATAAGTCTCCTCTTCATCTGTGAGAAAATTCTTCCGTAGTCACTGCCATATTTTCATTGGATATGAAGAATCAGCATCCTACTGTAATGTCGAACCGTTTTTGATTAGATTATGTCATACAATAATGTCTTTATGAAAGACATTCATGGGCATGACGATAAACTACATCCAGTAGCAAGGCCTCTGATCGGGAGATGGGAGGTTTTAAGGAGCGTGGGACCTCTTAATTACTGTTGTTCCCAGGTCCAGCCTGACCCAGGGAATAGAACCTGTTAGTGTCCCAGTGAATCCCAAACAAAAATAAAAACTATGAAAGTATAAGAAAATACATTTTATAGCAAAATGATCACCAATCCTTATTTTATAGCAAAATGACCAATACATTTTATCTGTAGTTGAAGCCATAAGATTGTTAAAAATGTTTAGATTTCGATATTAAATAACCCATAGAGGCTTATTTGGCGCTAAACGAAATCAACAATATTATGAAAAAAATAGTATGATATCAAGAAAGTCTTTTAAACAATATGTAATATATGTTTATAAATTCAATTGAACTATCTAACCCACTACTAGGCAGATTACATTGAAATCAAAATCCCCATAGACAATTCACCATAGCTGTTACCATGGGGATTTTGATTCCAATTTTAAAACAAGTAAATTTCAGATATACGTTATTCCAACAAAAATTTCGCTTGAAGATGGAACGGAGCCCATTTTACTTTCAACTCAATTTAATTTAAAGGATTATATTGAAGTTTTCGGCTCTTGTTTTGAAACATGAGACCTCTTATGTAGCGATTTGGAATCATATTTTTAAATAAATAATTATATTTATGCTCTACTTTTGTATCGAGCACTATTTTTAAAAAATAATAACTAAAATACTAAGGGACTTTGGATTATTTACCTAACCAGTTCCTTCCTATTTTCTATATATTTTCACACACACACACACACACACACACACACACACACACACACACACACATATATATATATATATATATATATATATATATATATAGTTAAACATGGAGAGCCAGACAAACCTACCAAGGTTTCACCTAAGCGGATCGTCAGTGAAGGTCGGCTTATTTATTTATTTAGTTAGTTATTTTGGGTACTCGCATCGGGTTTTTTTTTCTTTGGGCCTTGAACTCGTATGCTGAACTAAAAAGGGGTGTGAAGTGACATAATTGATGTTAGGGAGCTTAACAAACTAAAAAGGGGGTAAAGTGTGACATAATTGATATTAGGGAGCTTAATGAACTAAAAGGGTATGTTGAGTAACGTAACTGATGTAAGAAGCTTAACGGGCTAAAAGGGGGTGCAGAGTGACATAATTGATGCTAGGAAGATTAATGAACTAAAAAGGGGTGCGAAGTGACATAATTGATGTTAGGGAGCTTAACGTGCTAAAAGGGAGTGCGGAGTTACATAACGGTTATCA